TCAATTTGAGCAGAATATAAAGAAATATTTAAGAAATGAAAAACACTTCATTTTCAAAGTAACAGAAGATCAACGTCACCAACTTGATCGCTACTATACTAATCCCTGAAACATATAAGCTTCTAGGCAGCAAACAGGTATAAACCAATGCTAAGCTAGACAACCTTGTCAAGAGCCGCCAAAGCAATAAGTTCAACCAGTTGAAACACAACAACCAACAGCCCACCAATATCGATTATGGGCAAGAATTTGTCAGCGATTATCGATAATAATCGATTATCATTTTTCTGGAAAAATCCGAACTTTACCGACCTGTTATTTGTGTTGATCGAGTTACAGTAGTGTTATTATCCTAGTCTAATACTGTGCCGATGTACGTAAAAAAATCAATTAATGTAAAATAATTAGTTGCTAAATGTAGGACTAACTTGAGTATTATTCTAAGTTCTGTTCTTGATTCATTTGAACCTTTTTTTATCTCCGATAAATACAAAGACAATACATGGTTTCTCTTTGCAAGTGACTGGCGATCACACAGTGTTACTACTAATAGAATAAAATAAAATAGAAGGCGTCTATTGATTGGACAATAAAAAAATAATTACGGGCTTTCAAAGTAGAATTTTTATGATTGGTTAATTTAGATGAAAACCAAAGTAGAATTATTCCACAAAATTACGAGAGATATAGATATTTTCCCTGGAAGTCAAAAACGTGTTTTGTATGGGCTGTATCTGACATGATTTAGTAATAAAAGCGGAGTTGATCATTAATAATACAATTAGTTTTATCGTGAAAGCAGACGATTTCTCTACAAATCAACCAAGAACAAAGAAGGGAGATAATTATAATTTTACTATATATCACGTGCGATTGTCATTGTTCACAAAGTGCGTGACCTATTTTAGTTTCAACTAGCAATAACAACAAAAACAACGAAAATATTAAAATAATGTAATGTATTAATGTATAATGTATTTTTTACAATAATATATATTTAAAATGTGCCAGTTTGTAAGCAGAGGGGGGAAATAGTTGTGTTGACATGTATTCATTCATTCGTCTGCTAATGCCAGACTACGGCAAGTTCAGTCATGTGAAAGTGACCGTAACTTGCCGTCAGAAGGTAAATATACCGATAATCGATATTTGAATTTCAATATCGATTATCGTATCGCTAAATAACTTCTACCGATTATTGATTATATCGATATTTTTGCACATCCTTAGTCAGCATACCATTCAACGGCAGTTCATCCTACCACATCAGAAGAATCCTGAAACAATCAGGCATTGACACAGTCTTTTCCAGTAGCAGTACCCTGAAAGACTTACTGCGAGCCAACGGAAAAATAAACCCAACCATCCCACAACAACCAAAAGGATGTGTCTACCAAGTTTCGTGTTCGTGCGGCCAGACATACATAGGAGAAACTAAACGCCCGTTACATGCCCGTATCAAAGAGCACCAATCCCTAGCAGCCAACAATACCTCTGCAATAGCCCAACATCTCAGCAACAATGGCCGTCACAAAGTGAAATGGGAAGATACAAAAACACTGACAGTAAACCAACACAACAAAAAGACAAGGAAACCCTTAGAAGCCATCAACATTAAAAGGTACCATCCAGAACTCAACCGCGATCCTGGTCTATTCATCCCAAGGGCATATGACAGTCTCATCAAATATACCACTCAGTTATTCTCCCACTACATTTATGATTTTCTTTATATTAGTAAGCCCCGGCCCCCAATTTCCCATACAGTTTCATTCATAATATTAATCCTGATTACTTTTTTTTTTTTTTTTGTCCCCCGCCTTTCGAAGAAAGCAGGGGACTATTAAAATGGGTTCGTCTGTCTGTCTGTCTGTCCGTCTGTCTGTCCGTCACACTTTTTGGGACACAATAACTCTCTTCCTAATTGAGCTAGAATGTTCAAACTTGGTGTATGTGTTTATTAGATCAATGCCTTGATGGAGTTCGAAGATGAGCATTTTCCGCTTAGGGTAAGCAGAGATAAGCAATTTGATTGGTTGATGCTTTGGGACACGATAACTCTCTTCCTAATTGGGCTAGAATGTTCAAACTTGGTGTATGTGTTGATTAGGTCAATGCCTTGATGGAGTTCGAAGATGAGCATTTTCCGCTTAGGGTAAGCAGAGATAAGCAATTTGATTGGTTGATGCTTTGGGACACGATAACTTTTAATTGAGCTAGAATGTTCAAACTTGGTGTATGTGTTTACTAGGTCAATGCCTTGATGGAGTTCGAAGATGAGCATTTTCCGCTTAGGGTAAGCAGAGATAAGCAATTTGATTGGTTGATACTTTGGGGCACGATAACTCTCTTCCTAATTGAGCTAGAATGTTCAAACTTGGTGTATGTGTTGATTAGGTCAATGCCTTGATGGAGTTCGAAGATGAGCATTTTCCGCTTAGGGTAAGCAGAGATAAGCAATTTGATTGGTTGATCCTTTGGGACACGATAACTTTAGTTCTAATTAAGTGAGATTGATGAAACTTGGTGTATAGTTTCATTACAGTAATACCTTGACTAAGTTTGATAATGAGCATTTTCTGCTCAGGGTAAGCAGAGCGATACGCAATTTGATTTTTATATGTGTCCTCTAATTATTTTCCTATTTCGGCGGGGGACATCAGCCTCACTGTTGGCTTGTTTTTTTTATATTTATAGATGCAGTTTCTTTTATTCATTTCTCACAGCAATGTATGCACTATGTTCATAATCGTTCCACAATATTTAACATTGCTTTTGGAAAATGAATTTTGACATGTTTTTTTTTACATAATTTCATTTATACTTTAATTACTATACATGTACTTAATTAATTTCTTAACACCCAATGTTTCACACTTCTATCGTAACAAATTTTACCCAAATCTTTTGTATATCCTTTATATGTTATAGTTTTCATATGTTTTTTAATTTCCGTATTGTTTCTCAATTATTTTTTTAAAAATTCTTAAACATATTGATAATCTGGATTTTTTTTTTAAAGCAATTTATGTATATCTAATTTTTAAAACCATGTATTTAACTTTTTTAATGCCTCATTGATTTAATACCGGATAATCTCATGTTATTTCACAATATGGCTTCTCTATATGGTCTTTTAGTGGGTTCGTTCTGTGGGTGTATTCCCACGAAGGCGCAGTTTGATGAGAGACTTGTTGCTATTAAAGATTTTATGAATTTATGTTCACTCTGAACCAGCAACACTCTGGAAGGATGACATGCAAGAATCAAGAAGCTAGTTGGAAAAGCCCATTCAAATGTTTTTGAAATGATCACATTTTTACAAGAACAAAATATTAATGAGATTATAATCGTTCAGTCGTTCACCAAGGAAGAGATATAAATATGCTCAAATCCAAAGCTAGCTCCAGGAATTAAAAGGAAGACATAATGAAGAGGAATTGACTTTAGTCGAGTATTTAGACAGGGTGTCATATTTGGCGAAATTAAATTAATTTTTGTTATAGTGTAGTTATGTTTTTATTTCTTATGCCAAGAATGATGCTAAAATGTTGGTTAATTAGTTACATTGGGGATTATAAAAGTGTAAATTCTTATCTTAACAATCTATAACACCATTGTTACGATTTTAATCCATTTTAATCCCTCGTTTAATCCATTACGGTCAATAACTGCGCCTTCGGTGCAAGCATAGTCACCCCCCAATCTAGCTGTCTTTATTATCATGTTTTCTTTGTACATAGTTCACTATACCCACCCTTATGGCTTCCCAACCCTTTGATGGTTTCCAAATGATTATCTCTGATTGTGTATGGATGTTTGTCTTTGTTCCATATTTTGTATATATATCTTCATTGCACTCTATGGTTGTCATTCTTTGCGGGAGAACCCTCGTCGAAATGTTGCTTTAATAAACTCTTCAAGTAACTTGTATTCCATATATACTGAGCGCCATTGAAAACGCATCACTTAGTTTTTCGTATAACAAAATGATCCTGTAAACACATCTTATTTATTTTGCTTCTTATTGTGAACAATATTCAAATGGGAACACATCAATAACAACACATTTGTACACTTATGGATGTTTAATCTGTAATCAAGGGTTGGCACTTACTGGTCCTTGTCTTCCGACGACTGCTGCACCTGTTCGAGTCGCTGGGCGGAATCTGTCACGCAGATGAGTGACCCGGATGTAGCGGTCTTGAGCCTGGGTTGTAACGCGTTGTGGACCAGGACGTTGACTGTCACGTGTTGATCCAGTAACTCAAACACATTCCACCAACCTTACAATAGTGGACTGATGACAATTGAAGTGTCTGGCAATAGCACGTGTAGACATGCCAGCCCTGAACATTCCCATGGCTTCATTCCGTTGATTTTCAGTAAGTCTCGGCATCTCTAGCTCGATTCCTTCACACGTCCAACAACAAATTACGACAGATTGACGTTTCACAGTTCATGTACTGCACATTAAGTTGAAAACATGCTTTTAAAGGGCTCACACACAATGCTGCATGTGAATATTGGGTTTTTCATGTGCATCTCGTGCAATTTTTTTTTTTGCACACGGGCCGATATTTTTTGTGTTTGGGAGCATTGTTTGAAACAATAGTTCATAGTATTGCATAATATTATACATACAAAACCACCTAGTAATAAAATATTTGGGAAAAAAAAGTGATGCGTTTTCTATGGCGCTCAGTATGATTGTGTCATGTGTTATCATTGACTGATATTAATCTGCAAGATATCCAATTAGCCCAAATCTAGCTGTCACCCATTCGAAGGTAACATTTTCAGTACATTAAGCAGAACACCATTCAGAGAACTTAAATAACCTCTATAAACATATAGTATTGCACTTCCAGATGCCCAAAGAATCTAGTCTAAAATCTAATGTCTTTTTCGTTTCATGCCCATGGCCGTATATACAATGCTGTATATAATGAACAGACATGTACCAGTACTTTGTATTTGCTGTATGTTTTTGTTTACAGGGTATGAGCTATGAAGATACCATCAAAGTTAGAAAGACAAAATTGAATCCAGCATTGTTGACTTATTATAAACAACCGGTTATGGTACATCAAGGTAAAATGCAGTACTTGTTTGACACCAATGGTAGAAGATATATTGATTTATTTGCTGGTATTGTAACTGTCAGCGTTGGACATTGTCATCCGTAAGTCTTTAACTGTGTAAGGTATATGAATTTGAAAGTGTCATACAAAAATATCAACCATTTGCTTTAAAGAAAAGGTACTATGTCTTATTTTCTCATGTTGCAAAACTTTTTAGCTTCATATTTATAACAGACTGGATTTTCATTTCATACTCTTCATAATACTTTTATTTATGATTTAATATTTCTTTTTGTTTTCACTTATTAAACACACTGACAAATAATCAAATATTCAGAATTTTTGTTAATAAAGTCTCTAAATCAAATAATTTAAAGATGGGTTCCCGTGTACAAACTGAGTGATTTAATGGTATATATGGACCAAAAACATGTTCAAACTAATTAATTTGTCATAATTATGCTTCAAATCCTTCTCAAACATTGTAATTGCGAAGGAATGCCCTGCTATTAAAATTCGATCAAACCAGGTCATTTTACGTCACGTCTTGGGAGTCTGAGGAGAATTCATTGCATACATAAGACGATGTTGTCTTTAATCGCTTACTATTTATTACAAATATCGAATCCTAATTAAATTCTCGGATTATCCACAATCTGCATCTCTTTCCGTCATTTTTATCTCAGAAAGTATTGTACGTCTAACTCTTCATAAAGTTTATCAACTTGTACATCAAGCGCTCAATGTTCGCTTGTGACCTTTGACATTACGCGTGCAGAAGTCCCTAATCGTCGGGCTGTTGATTCGGGGAACCCTTACATTTTTGTCCTGTATACGCTCCATGAATGTTCTTCGGGGAATCCAGTATTTTTCTAGTAAGTTCGGATATCTCTACTTTCCATATATACCAAAATTGCCATACTTTTATTGGGAATAACCACCTGATAAATACTTTTCTGGGAACCCATCTTTAATGTTAAGAAGATTTTTGAAGATACCATTATATGGTGCTTTAGCGTAGATTTATGCTATCACTATATAGAACAGCATGAATTTGATTTGTAATAAATTCTAACATATCTTTTTAATATAATACAAAAAAGAGATAGTACCTTTAACATAATATACTATTCAAAAAAAGTAGGGGATATTTGATTTTTAAGTGTTATTAAAGTCACCTAATGAAACTGACGAAGAAACAAATGACAAAATGAAATGAAGTTCACATTCATCGATTTATTCCAAATGATCGTTAGACTAAGTAAGGCACAGACTGACCATTATAAGGGTAAAATGATACCCGGGGTCAAACAGCAAAGTTACCACAGCATCACAACCATGACGATCCCTGCACCAACGACGTCTTGCCTGAATGTGATGATCTATGCAGTCGATTCCGAATCGTCTGGCCACTCACTCTCACACCAGTGTCTGTTTGAAGACGAGCGCTGATCTGATTTGCTGTGATGACACGATTTCTCAAGGCCAAGGTACGGATAAATCGATCCTGGGCTTGAGTTGTCGCCCTTGGTCGACCTGAGCGTGATCTGTCCTGTACAGATTGTGTATCACGGTATCTGGACCATAGCCTGCTTATGACAGACTGAGAAACATTCATCGTCCGCGCCACAACCGCCTGTGTTGTGCCGATCTGTAGCATGCCAAGGGCACATAACCTTTCATTTTGGGTAAGCCGACGCATATCAAAATTTGTTTTCTGGTCACTAAAACAATTAAACTGATGTTTCCACCCTGGAATTCAATACCACAATGACTGTAACATTCAAAGTCAGAGTCGTGCAAATCTTGGGTTGGACCCCCATGATGATCCCAAGCATCACCTGCATTCCATGCGGTAGCTATTGGTGCGTTTGGGCGTCACATGTAACTGGAAATGTTTCTTCTGTTAGGTTCTATAGTGACTTTTTTCGTAGTCATTTGCATATTTTAGTATTATGCCCCCAAAATCAAATATCCCCTACTTTTTTTGAATAGTATATATAGTAGCAAAGAAATATTAATGTCTGTATTTCATTGATGACCGTATCTCAAATCTGTTATAATTTACAGGTATAGATTGTCCAGCGGAGAAGTACATTATATTATACCTTTAACACCTGAGGTAACATATTGACTAGCTAAATAGGCTAACACAATACCGCTGCACCAGAAATAAATCCAATTTTATTTTATGAGTGTGTTGAAATTACAACAATTTTTGTTTTGATTTCAACGTCTTAAATGTTTGACTATTATAGTTTTAGTCTTGCATCATTTCTGATGTTTATTTGTCAACAATCATAATTTCTATTTAAAAACAATGTACCATTTCACAAAGCATGTGTAAAACTCGCGTACAATAACTTTATATGGGCTTTGTTAAACGGGGTCCATTGTTACACATTTTGGACATTCTGTCAATCCATGATTGTTTGAGCTTCATAAAGTGACTACTGGTCTGAGGGCCATAATAACTTTCCAACTCGGCTGAAAGCTACCAAAAATATGTAACTCGCATATAAATTAAAAAAACATCAACACATTTGGACTAGGTTGATATAATAAATGAAACAAATAAATTGTTGATATATAATTAGAATCTTTTATCTTGTTATTAAAATTTGTATAAAACTTGATTTGAGTTAAGCCAAGTTTTATGGCCTTGTCACTCTGATAATTTGTACATATTTCTTGTGAGGTTTTGCTTTTTTTATACACCCACATGGAAATGTGGTTGTTTATTGTCGTCGCCCCCATCCATCCATTAGTTGGTCTGTTCGTCATCCACCATTTCTTGTGAACACTCTAGTGAAATGAAGAAGCCTATTGAATTTCAGTTATTTCCGTTAATTATGTCTCGAGTTATGGCCATTGTTTCACTTTGTCGAATCCTGTGAACGCACTAATGACAAAAGTTATCATCCGATCTGTATGAAATTTATATGCATTATTTAAATTAGTGAAACGAAGAAGCCTATTGAATTTCAGCAATATCCGTTAATTACATTATGGCCCATGATTCACTTTGTTGAATCTTGTGAACGCTCTAATGACAACAGTTATCATTCGATCAATTTGAAATTGATATCCGGCATTTAAATTAGTGCAATGAAGAAGCCTATTGAATTTCAGCAATTTCCGTTAATTACGCTGTGAGTTATGGCCCTTGTTTCACTTTGTTGTACCTTGTGAACGACAAACGTTATTATCCGATCTGTATGAAATTTATATGTATTGTTTAAATTAGTAAAAGGAACAAGCCTATTGAGTTTCAGCAAATTTCTGTTAATTACATCTAGAGTTATGGCCCTTGTTTAACTTTGTTGAATCTTGTGAACGCTTGAACAACAAAAGTTATCACCTAATCTGTATGAAATTCATATGCATTATTTAAATTAGTGAAATGAAGAAGTCTATTGAATGTCAGCAATTTCTGTCAATTACTTTTAGAGTTATGGCCCTTGTTTTACTTAGTTGAACCTTGTGAATGCTCCAACAACAACAGTTATCATCCGATCTGTATGAAATTTATACGCATCATGTAAATTAGTGAAACGAAGAAGCCTATTGAATTTCAGAAATTTCAAATAATTACTTCAAGAGTTATCACCCTTGTTATAACCCACATTTTCATGTGGACATATATTGTCGGCGTCTCCGTCCGTCTGTCGGTCCGCCTGTCTGTAAGTCCCTCCGTCCGTCCATCGTCCACAATTTCTTTTGAACACTCTATAGCCAAAAGTTATCATCCAGTTGTTTTAAAATTGATATATGTTGTTTACATTAGTGAGATGAAGAAGCGTATTTAATTTCAACAATTTCCGTTTATTACGTCTAGAGTTATGGCCCTTGTTTCACTTTGTTGAACCTTATGAACGATCTAATGCAAAAAGTTAACATCCGATCTTTGTGAAATTTATATGCAATATTTAAATTAGGGAAATGAAGAAGCCTTTTGAATTTCAGCAATTTCCGTTTATTACTTCTAGAGTTATGGCCCTTGTTCACTTTTGTTTAACCTTGTAAACACTCAAATGACGAAAGTTATCATCTGATTTGTATGAAATTTATATGCATGATTTAAATTAGTGACACAAAGAAGCTTATTGAATTTCAGCAATTTCCATTTATTACATCTAGACTTATGGTCTTTGTTTCACTTTATTGTACCTTGTAAACGCTCTAACATCAAAAGTTATCTTTCGATCTGTATGAAATTTATATGCATCATTTAAATTAGCAAAGAGAAGAATCCTATTGAATTTCAGCTCGACTGATGAAAGTTATCATCCAATATGTATGACATTTATATGCATCATTTAAATTTGTGAATTTCAGCAACGTTTGAATGGCAAAATTGATCATCTGATCAGTGAGAAATTCATATGCATTATTTAAATTAGTAAAACAAAAAAGCCTGTCAAATTTCAACAATTTCTGTAGATTACTTCAGTTTGTAGAACCTTGTGAACCCTCAAACGGCAAAAATTATAATCTGATCTGTATGGAACTGTCTTGTAAAGGCCCCCAATTACCTACAAAGGAATAAATATGCGACAAACTTGTCGACCGCTCGGACGACTTAGCTGATGTGGGCGTATGTTTCGTTGCCTGGCAACCTATCTTTCATCTTCGTTGAACCTTGTGACCGCTTGAATGATGAAAGGTTTCATTTGTTCTGTATGAAATTTATATGCATCATTTAAATTAGTGAACGAAGAAGCCTATTGAATTTTAGCAATTGCCAATAATTACATCTCATGTTATGGGCTTTTTTTTTCTTTGTTAAACAGTGTGAATACTGGAGCGATAAGTCCCCCCCATCTGATCTGTATGAAATTTATATGCATTATTAAAATTATTAAAATGAAAGTCGAATTTCAACAATTTTTGTATATTACTTCCAGAGTAAAGGCCCTTGTTTCTGTTTGTAGCACCCTCAAAGGAAGAAAATTATAATCTGATCTGTATGAAATTGTCTTGTAAATGCCCCCCATTACCTACAAAAGATTAAATATGCGACAACCCTTGTTACCCGCTTGGACGATTTAGCTGCTGTGGGCATATGTTTCATTGCCTGGCAACCTATGTTTTACCAAATGATTGATATAATTAGCAGCTGTATGGTTTTCTGGCAATGGATATTGTAAATGCATATTAATTACAGTGTTATGAACAGTTTTTTAGAGGTTCAGACTTAGTAGATATTTGAACACATGAAGAGCTGATTAAAGGGGCATTATGTAAGATTTAGATAAAGAACTGGCCGCTCTTGCTAATAGTTCAAAAACAGATAATTGAAAATTTCATTTAAATTACTTTAGTCTCTGCCAGGTTATCAATGTTTGTAACTTTGACAAGATGTGTGCATTGATTCTTTATTATCGTAACCACGATGCTGGTTATTCGAGCCATAGCCTCACTTCTCCATGTTGAAATTAAATCATAAAATGGCAAAATCGTTCTAATCTATTTAAAATTGGAGCCATCCGATGGCATCGAGAATTGATTATGGTCTTGTCATGTTAATAAATGTCTAATTAATAATTTATATAACATTTTTAAATGCCTAAAGAAAGTCCTGTATGGTGGCCTGTCGCTATCATTCATTATTTTACCAAAAAATTAATAAAACAAAACAAAAAAATATGTGAAACTTGAAAATAAAATTAGATTAAAATCAAAATTAAACTGAAAATAAAAATTCATCTAAAAATGAAACTAAAATAAAATTACAAGCAAAAGTTAAATCAAATTGAATAGCAAAATCAACTCAAAATCAAATCAAAATTAAATTAAAATCAAAATGAATTTCATATAAAAAATGAAATTAAATGAAAGTTAAAATCAAATGAAAATTCTTCATAGCCTATCACTATCATAGTACCCCATAATGCTTTGTGGCTTGGCAGAATTGACCTAAATGAACTATGACCCATTTTGAGACCCGGATAGGTTACTCTTGATGGAATACGCTGTTGTAATTCGTCTGATATTCATGCAAATCGTTTCTAACCAAATAGATTTTATTAAATTAATCAATGGAATCTTTGATATAAAGAGAACCTGTATTAATTAATGCTCCAAGTATGCTACATGTACATGTAGGCCTTACCATTCGGACATGTACATGTAGGCCTTATCATTCAGTTCAACCTTCGAATGTACTTCAGTGAAGAAGACGGTTCGCTAAACTGGAGCTGCCGTGCCCGATCCCTGCGTTGCCCGAGAAAGTTCCCTCGGGTCAGTGGTGCAGGACAGAAATTGTGGCAAGGACAATGTATAGTGGTTCGGATTGGAAGAAAAACCACGGTCCCATGTACACATTGTTGTGCACGTAAAATTGTCCCTCATAGCACACTGTATGACGTATGCCTATCTTTATTAGCCCAGTCACAATTATTATCCGATTTTGTTGAAACTTGAAATATAAGTTTATAACCCAAAGATCACGGTTCCTTCGATATTCACGCATATCGGACCGTAACTTCCTGAATTATGGCCCCTGATTGTACAAAAAATTGCATTTTTAGCTTGTGGAGCCTATACAGGTCATAATTTTTATCTGATTTAAAAAAATGTTTGAATATAATTATCACCGTTACATCCTAAGGATGGTTGAGTTCGAATTTCATAAATATCAAACCAAAACTGACAAAATGGCCGCCCCATGTACTTAAATAGCATAAAAATATGATATATCAAGGTTGTGAACTCTCTAGAGGTCACAATTTTCTTTTGATTTTGATGAAATATGAAATGTAAGTTTATAACCCAAAGATCACGGTTCTTTCGATATTCACGCATATCAGACCGTAACTTCCTGAATTATGGCCCCTGATTGTACAATTTTTGAATCAGTTATTATCCAGCTCTTGCAGTTTATTTCTAATTGAGCTAAGATTGAATTTCGGTCTTTGGCTAACTCGGATCTTTGCTTAACTTGGATAAAATTGGTAAGTCCACTTAAATCCGACTTATGCGAAATTTACTGTATACTCTTTTCATTAATATTGGACTGTTGTTATTAGATAAAAATCCATTCCTCATTATAATGAATTAGAAGATCAAAAGATGACGTCATAGCTATGTATTAATTGCAGAGTCTGTTTACATCTGCCTAACCATTCGATCAAGAAATAACAACTGCTCCCTAACTCAAGCTGGAAAACAATACGCCGTCAGGTTTCTAGATAGTGATACCCTGACATTTTTGCCCAATGCTTGCCCAATGGGTGTTTTTCGGGTAATCCAGTATTTTTCTAGTAAGATTGGGTTTCTATACTTTCCATATATACCAGATTTGCCATACTTTTATTGGAAATAACCACCCGATAAATACTTTTGTGAAAATGTATCTTTAAGCTGGAATACTTTTATCTTGTGATGAAATAGAATGATGGAATTTATCTACATTGTGTTTACATGTTATTATCATCTGTTTTATCTTCTGTTAAATCTTCAGTAAAGTTACTGCTGCTGCCACAGAACAAATGAAGAAATTATGGCATACAACAAATATATATCTTCATCCTTCTATACATGAATATGCTTCAAAACTAACAGATACACTACCTGGAGATCTAAAGGTAGGCTCAGTTATCAAGTATTTCAAGACCTTAATAGCTCTATCATATTCTCTTAGTTAATCATGCCAGGGACATCAAACTGAAGTGTAATTTTGAAGTCAAAAGTGAAACTTTGTGTATAGTTTCATTACATCAATACCTTGACTAAGTTCGATGCTGATCATTTTCTGCGTAAGCAAAGTAGAGACTTCAACTTGATTGGTCAGGACTTTGGAAATCAATAACTCTCCTTCTAACTGAGGTAGAATGTTCAAACTTGGTGTAAGTGTCTATTAAGTGAATGCCTTGACTGAACTCGATAATGCGCATTTTCCACTAAGGCTAAGCAAAGATAAGCAATTTGATTGGTCGAGACTTTGGAATACGATAACTTTGGTTTTAATTGGGTGAGTGCAATGAAACTCTGAGTATAGATTCATTATATCAATTCATTGACTAAGTTCAATGATGAGAATTTTCTGCTTATAGTCGGATTCGGTTTGTTACCTAATTCCCATCCGTCGGCTTTTCGGGTAGAAATCATGGAATAAGCTTTATTTTGTAGATTTTGATGTTTGATTACAAAAAAACAATGTTGACATTTTTTCTGAGTAGGTCTTCATAGTATGGGAGGCCATTATTTTAGGGAGCCATTTTGCGATAATATTCCAACTTATTTTATTATTTTCACCTTATTTATAATGTTATCGACATATCAACTGTGATTTGGCAATGTATTAATATTGGGAGGATTCATGACTATACTTCTAGGCGAAGGACTGGGAAGTTCTAACTAGCTTAGTTTTCAAAAGTCGTTGCAACTCACCGCTGTGGAAAGTTTTAATGTTTATTTCTCAAGAAATAACCCTAATGTATTGTAAACAAAACTGCCACACTCCAATTTATGTGCCAGAAACGTTTTAAACAAATAATCTAAACGACAGGATTTTTTGTCCTCGCAATAATAAAAGTAGTGAGACGGCGAGCTTTCAGCCAATGAAAATCTAGTAAATAGCGAATAACAGTAAATACACGTGACCTTAAGGAGAATTGAATAGATCAATGCCGTTGTTTTGCTATAATATAAATAGGTCGATTTTTTTTAGCCAAACTCGTTGTAAATCATATTTCTAATGAAAAGAAAGTGCGCACTATTAATACTGGTATTTACCGGTGTCGGCTAAAATGTAATAAGTGCATTAATGTGAAAGATTTAGGTCAGCGATGACTCATTGGGTAGAGTGTCCAACTGACAGCTTCTTACCACTTGGTGATTATGTCACATGTGCCGTGTTTTCGGACCCTCCACCCCATCAGACGGAAAGTTTTCCCCTATGCCAGACAAGCTTTACCCCTCTTACCCCCGTGAAGCCGCTGTCGGTAATACCTGACGGGCTTGTCCTCTCTCAACAAATTTTAAGCTGTTTGTAGCCTGTGTAAATGTGATGAATCAATTTATTATTCTTAAGAAAGTAGGCCTACACGACACTGTGGAATTAATTTTTGCATGCATCGTGTTTAACGTCCCACCACAGCTCCGAGTATTAAGATAATTTGAGAAGGGTTGGAAATGTTGTTTGATAGCAATGATATAGGCCTATATATAATCGAATATAAATATAGATAATTGCCAAATATCAAAATCAATCAAGGTGTGTGAAGCTATATTTTATTAGAGGCTCTCTTCCTACTGTAGTCTTTGCGTTTGTAGACATACATACTTTGCATTGTCGAGTTCACCCTAATATTAACTGGTTAGAATAGATCCCCTAAGCCCACCCTTCCTCATCTCTAATAAAGTCGACACTGTAGCATGCAAATAATATAACTATGCATAAATCAAAGGCAAGGCCCAGCACTCCCCCCCCCCCCCCCATACACTGCTTAATCCCCGAACCCTCCATATAAGGTTGGAAATACCTTTTAATATCAATATACCCACAAAAGCACCCCTAATAAGGTTTGACAATGTAATAACAATTAACTGATGTTTTGTGGACAGTTATTTGTGTTTGCTAAATTATGACTTTTTGAAATTAATGCATAGGTATAATACAGGTTGTGTTCTAACAACTGGCTAAAATGTCCCTTGTTTGTCCATTCCCCTATTTTGAAAAATATATATAGACTACTTGGTCTTGCTCAAAGGAGCAGTCTATGGGAGTTTTAAAAATAAATTATTTTTTTTAACATTATTTATTAAAGATAATTGGATTATAGAGCAGGCAACCCCACTCACCAAAAAAAAAAAAAATACAAAGATATAAATATTACAATCAAAACATAATGAAATTACAATAGTAAATCAAATACATAAATATACACATATATATATTACATACACTCACACACACACATGTACACACTACACATACACTAATTCATTGATAATTAACATCAAACAACTGAGAAAAAATGTACCATAATAGACTAAAATAAATATGTATGCTGCAAATGTCTGATATATAAAGAAATAGTTAAGATTTTTAATACATGTAGTTCAAAATTTAAACATTAAAGTAGCTAAGTCTCTTACTCAATATCATCTAAAATCTTCAACATGGAAAACACGATTTATTTGTCAAATTAAATCAACATTCATGTTGTGATCTTACCGGAAAAAATTGGGCTTTTGATATCCAATATTTAAGACAAAATAAATATTTTACCATTTGTACACGAATCGTGTACCATAATGCGCTTCAGCCCCAGTTGTATCAAGAGACTCGAGGGACGAGGCTAGACACATTGCACCAAATCAAACAGCGTATATAGACTGGAATAACCAGACGCTAGAAATTTGCACTCGCTTGAGACTGCCGGCTTATTTCGCCGAACACAGATGATTTGAAATTGGAGTAAAAACGGAAACCATTGAATGTAAATCAGTTTATGTACAATCATACTACAGTATTATATGCGTTGCGACCCACTTATGTCAATTTCTAGGTCTCAAGTGTTAGCGATTTAGCTCCTTTAAATATTACTGTAATGACTTTAATTGACAAAAGTTCTGATTTTAATGAAAATGAATATGGAAAAAAACAGTATGTACAAGCTCTGTTGATAAGATATGAATTTATAGGCTTGAATCAGCATACAATAGGTATGTAAAAACATATATACAAAGTCATTTTAAAATTTAATAAAACATGTTGATTTTGATTTTATAATTATACTAAATCATTCATTGACTAAAGTGTACAAAATATGCATAATGAATTTGTTATGGTTAATATATGTTATAGTGAGTTCAATGATAGGTTCAATATTAACAAAGATTACTTGAATTGTAAAACTGTTCAACATTTAAACTCGACTAATGATACAGATTTAAAACATTAGTTTTACTATAAGATAAAACAAAATTATAATCCGATGGAATAACTTGATTTTAAAAATATCAGAAATTAAGAGAACAAAAAAATCACTAAACTTCAGCCGATCATAAGGGACAGACACAAAATAACCCCTGATGTAAGAGTTATAAACTATGTGAGAATGTAGCATTCAACTGAGGATAAAATCCATGCTCCCATAAAAGTGTGTTTTTGATTGTCCATGCTCCCATATATTGCTTTAAATTTAGTAATGCCAGGTTAAAGGTGTACAAAGAATTGGGGATAGAAAATCATTTTAAAGAAAAGGAAAAAATAATAATACTTTTAAAACAAATATTTGTTGATGTAATAATGAAAATATATATATTTATTTTTTTTTATTGAGAATGTATTGATTATCTTTGTAACAATATATAGTTTTTACATTCAACATTCTTCTTCATCATCATGCTGATTATCATCATCATTATCATCCATAGCCATCTCTGTGGGTGCAGGTGTGGAATTTTGACAGTCTTTACATCCACATAGATCTGTACAGGAAAGAGCAGCAACTTTACAGGAACATCTTTTTGATTCACCTTTGAAGCTTCTTCCTTTGTTCCTAAAGAAAATAGGAAATATGATAGAAAAGACATAATTGTATGTCACATGTGTGAATTTTTTTTTGAGCAATGCAATCTCTAAATGAAATCAAAATCTAAAATTGCTTATTTAAATAGCATTTCCGCCTGTAGGATCAATAATCTTTGCAGATCTTTTTACGGCTTAGACTAATTGCCTTTGATTTTTCTGTAAAGGCTATTCCAAACTATGCTCCCACAAGACGGCAGGTTTTGTTTTAGACCAATCACCGACGGAATATAAATTTGACAAAGTTCCATGGAACCTGACTTAAATGATTCTAATAAGAATGTAATTTTAAATATTATGTGCTGTACTCCATATTTCTATTACTTTATTGAAAATGATATTTCATAACCCTTGACATTGTAATTAATGACTAATGTAATTTGTTAGTTATGTTTCATAAAAATGTTTTGCCCTTCACCAGTTTAGGCTTCAGTTTTGTTTTAAAACTTGAAAGTTTGCCCACCACTGGTTTGCGTGATACCATGTATTGTGAACAAGTACTTTATATATTTCTTAACAACAACCAACGTGAACACTCACAGCCTAGAAAAAATTGAAATACTAAGACTAAGAAAATAATAATAATAAAATAACTAATATACTATTCAAAAAAAGTAGGGGATATTTGATTTTGGGGGCATAATACTAAAATATGCAAATGACTACGAAAAAAGTCACTATAGAACCTAACAGAAGAAACATTTCCAGTTACATGTGACGCCCAAACGCACCAATAGCTACCGCATGGAATGCAGGTGATGCTTGGGATCATCATGGGGGTCCAACCCAAGATTTGCACGACTCTGACTTTGAATGTTACAGTCATTGTGGCATTGAATTCCAGGGTGGAAACATCAGTTTAATTGTTTTAGTGACCAGAAAACAAATTTTGATATGCGTCGGCTTACCCAAAATGAAAGGTTACGTGCCCTTGGCATGCTACAGATCGGCACAACACAGGCGGTTGTGGCGCGGACGATGAATGTTTCTCAGTCTGTCATAAGCAGGCTATGGTCCAGATACCGTGATACACAATCTGTACAGGAC